CTTGTATGTTACTTTTTTGTTATCTCTGTTGCAAAGAGGGTGCCAGTACCAGTGCCGTGCTGTGCTGCTGTTCTATTATCCCTCCGTGTTCATTTGTTTTTTCTTTTTGCCAGTAACAGAGAATGAACTGCATATGTTACCTTTTAGCTAGTTATTTGTTCAGAGTATTTTATTTTTTAAATCATTTTCGATGCGCACCAACTGCACCGTTGCGATTATGCGTTTTTGCACTTCGTGCTGCAATAAAATACCTTAAAGGTGGTGATTCTGTCTCACTATTTTCAGTTTGGATGTTTTGTTAGTACTGTGTTATCAGTGATGATGCGAATTTAATAATCATACATAGTGTGATTTGAAGTGCAGGAGCACAAAATCGTTGGCGATGCGCACCAGGTGAGCCCGTGCGATCATGCGTTTTTAAAGTATTTCGTGCTGTAGTAAGGCAGCTAGAGAATAGAGTAGCCGGGGTCTGTGATATTTTTAGCTAGCCAAACTTGGTAGCTGAAATCAGTCTAACATATTTGCAAAGAAATGGCATGAGCAGCATTTATTTTACATCGTTAGGGTCACACTGAGACGACTAATCACCAAGTAAAATAGACAGCAACACGCACCAGACTAGCCGGTGCGGTCGTGCATTTTGTGCAATTCATCCCATCGAACGATTGCTTATTAATGATTTCAACTGCTTTGTACTTTAGTCTACGCAAAAAGATATAGAGATACAGAGATATTAATTTACCCGTAAAAAACGACATATGAATTTACCCGTAGAAAACTTTCACGGGGCCATACGTGTTACCCGTGGGTACGGGGAAGCTGTAAGTTTGCGGGGTCACACGTGGGTGGGGAACGTTCCCGGCCGTACACGTTACCCGTGGGTACGGGGAAGCTGAATTTAAATTTGTGGGGTCACACGTGGGTGGGAAACGTTACCCTATTCAGCGCTTTCCTAGCTTTGTGGTTCTCGAGTTGAAAGTTGCGGACAAGTTGCTGCGGACACACACACACACACACACACACACGACAATATGCGTTTTGTACTGCTGTTACACAGCACAAAACGCAAAAAAATTAGTGGCACTGCCAAATATTGAGGAGGAAGCAAGTAAAACGTATAAAAAACTCGTTACATTTTGCGTCTCTTGGTTCAGCTTGTCAATTTGCAGCTGGTTTTTTTCGTGAGTTGTCCCTGAAAACGACTCGTGTCTTTCATCGGTCTGATAAACAAGACAAAGCAGCACTTCAATTCTGGGAATTTTTTCGCCTGTTATGAGCAGACCAAAAGCAGCTACTTGACGTGGCGCAAGATGCTATCACCCCAGATGCACCGGTTTGGTGGCTTCTCAATCGCTCTGTATAACCACGGCTTTTCCTCTTATAAGCTACAGCATTAAATTTTACTTTTCCTGACCCGATATTTTCCAGAAATTTCCAAAAAAGGCAACGTTAAAATTTCGCCAAAACTGATGCTCGTGAATTTTGCGAAGTCCACTCCCCGATTTTTCGTCACCAGTTTTAGGGCTGTGACTAATTCCAACTCCATTTAGCTGAAGAAAAATGTTAATTGGCCCAAAATTCTGCTAGTTGTGATAAGTTATTATTGATCAAGTGTTTTGCTGTATTGTTTGCTTCCGTAGAAAAACTTTCATAATTTACTTCTTCTGGCTCAAACTTGTCAATTTGTATCAGTGTTCGTGAACATATCAATAAACAATCAGACTCTCCGTCAAATGGACAGCTTGCAAGATCTTGCTGTGATCATGCGAGGAAGAAAAATCCGCGCAGGCTTTAGCCGAAAAAGTGGCGCATATATAACGAGCAGGTGGTCGTCGGTGTTGTGTGCGGCTGAGGATGAAAATGCAGCGCATTTGGCGTGTAGAGGCATCTCAGTAACATCACTAAATTGCATAACAACATTAGTTAGTTGTAATTTTAATTGTAGATGATGTGTGTTTATGTAAAAAGTAAGGGTTTGAAAGTAAGGGAATAAAAGGGAATGTGAATAAGTTAAATCGGAATCAAAACCTGAATAGGAATGTTTCGGTCCATCAAGTCACATACATTCCTGTTCAGTGCTGCAACTAGTTAGTTGTTCAAATGGTTCTGGTAAAAATCTCACGTGCAATGCTGGCACTTCCTTTTTTTGTGGGCGCGAACAGGAGAATGGAGGTGGGCGATTTGAGGCAACTACCGCATAATATGGGGGCTCGCGGTTTCAAGCTGCGGAAATCGTAAAAGTGGATAGATGTCGTGTTAACTTCCCCTCAGCATCATGTTACGTGCTGAGCACAGAAGACCCCCTGCTCCACAGAATCCCCGCTGTTTACAACTGTCATCTTCAAGCAAGGTCCCAGCCCTTTCTCAGCTAATAACCCCATCCTCTTTCTTCTGTTGCTACCACCATCTAATCTCTTATCCCCCCTCCTCTACCAGCTCCATCCTACTTCTACCCTGAGTCACTACATCTCCCCTTCCCCCCCAAACCGAGCCGAGCCGAGTCGAATTGCCGTGATTTGGGGCTGCAATAGATGCGCGTAATTTTAAACTTTGCGCCGCTTCGTATTCAAATTTTTGATGGAGGAAGATTG